TCCTCCTCCTCCTCCTCCTCCTGGCACGTACCTGGACCCCCTCCTCCTCCTCCTCCTCCTCCTCCTCCTCACGTATTGTGCCTCCAGGACACGGCCCGATGACAATGCTGGCAGCGTTGTTCGCATTCTGACACGTCGGAGGGTCTGACCTCCAGAACACAGCCCGGCGGCAATGCCCGCGGTCTTGTACACCAGTCCGCACGAGGCATGCGCGCATAGGACGGCGACAACGCCTGGACATGTTGGTGATTCCGCCCTCGAGGACACTGAGCTGGCGGTTCTGCGCGCCTGGTTGGAGGTATTGACCTTCAGGGTACAGCCCGCCGGCAATGCCGGCCGTTCTGCACAACCTCCCCCCTACGAGGCAAGTCAGGACGCAGCCCCACAACGACACTGGAGCTTCTGTGCTGCACGACACAGCCCAGCCGCAATAACGGCGGTCCTGCACGCCTTTCCAGGCCTGGCCAGCCCTCGGTGACCTTTGGGCCACAAGCAGCATTCTGAGGTCACTGGCCGTCCACGACCGCCAGCGTGGCCCCGAGCGGGCAGGGGCTCACTGCACTGGGGTGAACGCGGGTGGCCCTGGACAAATTCTGAGCATTTGCGCTGCGCCCATAGGGGGGCTGTTCAGCAATTGTATTGGCCCATTGATGGCCAATCTCGCGCGTTGCAGCTGGGGCGAAGCAGCGGGGTGTAAGGTTTTCCGTGCTGGCAAACACCTCGGGAATGCGGGTCGGCTATCTGTACCCCATTGCGGGGGAGGGGGGCATGTTATTTCACAGCCCCGCACCCCCCACCAAACCTAATGTGTCGAACAGAGGTGGCTGCCTCGAGGTATGCAGACCACGCATACCATCCACCAACACGAGGTGCCAACAAGAACAGTCCCTGCACAGGCTTTGGGGCCAGAAGATTGTCATCCCAACGATCACCTTCACGGGGTGCCTACCCTCAAGGGCATTAGCACTACACTGCAATCATCTAATTCGTCTTTTTCGTTATCACACAAGCGATGCAATCTCGGCAAACACTCCAGCAACTGCCCTCAGATAAACCGAGCCGGCCGAATCCCACCTGGGGAGGATTCCAGAAGGGGCTGGAGGGGAGTAGGTTGTCCAAAGGGTCCTGCTGGCTTCGTACGCCCATGGCGGTGCCGTCGCTAGCGTGGAAAACAACAGGCGATGAAGCTCCAAAGTCCTCACCGATTCCTCCTCCTTGGGGAGACCAAAAGGTACCGATACGGCTACTCCCCGGACCTCTCCCGGGGTGCGTTCTGACCAGAATTTCGAGGCGAATCCAGAGGTGGCGACGAGGGCCTCCGAGAAGGCCCAAAAAGGGGAAAACGAGCGATGGTAGAGGTATGGGTACCTTTTCCTCCTCTGACTCCTTTCCCTCGTGAGGTTGGCCTGGGGAATGTGGAACGCTGGGGGGAATGGGGGCAACGGTGCGTCGTTGCCGCTCTGCCCCGCGTCGGTGCCGTGGCAGCTGTCACCGCCCGCTGATGCGCGTTGGCGGAGCGCTACGGTGTCGCGAATGGCGCACGCGATGCTGTTGCCCATAGCGCTCGCGCGAGCCCTCGACCTACTGCATGCGCGCACGTGCCATTAGGTAGCAGATCGGGGGCGTGAGCTGCCCCAGTGGCGCGGATTAGCCAGTTTCGACTTCCGATGTTCCTTCGAGGCAATGATACGTAACAAGATGGCAAACATGCGTCTAAACATAAAACCCCCGTGTATTGAATATTGAAACGCGACGGGGACACATTATATGAGTCAAGACCGGCTCCTAGCAACCATTAACAACTTATAGACTCAAAAATCACGGATCCCACTTCAGCAACGGGATTCTAAAACTGTAAGAACTAGCAAAACAATTTCGCCGAACGGTGAACTTGAACATTACCAGAAATTGGAACTCGTCTTCCATGGCATGGGCACCACATGGGAGTCATACCGCCTTCCGTAGTGGCAAAGGCGCCTCAACCATGAAGCATATGCCCGTGTCCCCCGCAGGTTTGGCCAATTATTACGACAGGCGGCTACCACGTCAACGAACATGACACAAACATATAATCAGGCCCATATCATTGTGTTGCTGCTTGAGTGCATTCGGAGGGTCACTGAACACAGATATCGGCGATCATCATGCGGGCGATGGATGATATGGGCAACCTTGGATGACCCATGGCCGCGTGGGGCTCACAATACGCAAGACGTCCCCTGCTCTGCTATGGGCCCACAGAACAATTTAGAAGAACGACCTCTCCTCCCATCCCCTTCCGAACCAACGGCCGAACTGGACTGGCCGACTCGGACCAGCTATTTGACTTGAAGTGGGCCGGCCAGACCGAACTGGACGACAATCTGAACCAGACTGGCGGGGCCGATGTGGATGCACACGGGGCCGCAGCGGACCGAACACACACCCAGGCCAAACAACCGGCGAGTGGTCCACGCGGAAGTGGTGGTACCGCCCCTTCCAGTCGATGCGCGCGAGCTTCCTTCTGCGCGGGCACGCTGGCGGCAGAAGGGGGTGTGGCGGCGGAGGGAGGGGGGGGTGCGAGGCAGAGGGGGGGGGAAGGGCAGGGGAGATGATAGGAGGGGAGGAGGAGGCGGCGGAGGGGGAGGCAGGAGGGGGGGAGCGATTCTTTGAGCTTAACGCCCCTCAACCCCTGATGCATGCGGTGGCTGCTGGCACGCGCGGAGAGAGCTGCGCGAGCAAACCAACAGCTCGGAGGTGAGAAAACACCTCGTTGCCGGCAGCCCCATGGGCCCAGCCGAGCTGCGAGCAGGCAGGTCTTCGCGCCAAGGAAGAGGAGGCCGACACCTCCACACAGCAGACTCTGGCACAGTCCCCTCCTCCCCCTCCTCCCCCTCCTCCTCCCCCCCCTCCTCCTCCTCCTCCTCCTCGTTTCCCCTCCAAGATGGCCCGGGAAGTGTCGCCGGGTGACGGTGGGAGAGCCCATCAGCAGATGCTGGCACAGTCCAAGGGGTCGAGGGCCACAGGAGATAGCCCAGACTGGGTGACTCTCCAAACCACCCATGGCCTGACGAACCACGAAGCCCACACTTGAAAGAACCCACGCATACAACATTATATTGCTGGCGTTGGTTCACACTGAATGGTTGCCACGTAAGGACGCCGTGCGCCCAAAGCGTCTACACTAAATAAAACCCATGAACACACGACCCACATATTAAAGATGCGAGCAAGCTCAAGCCGTCAGATCTTGCCAACGCAGCAAAATACCTGCGCCCTCAAGGCCAGGGCGGCCAGGAGGGAAAATAGCAGGAATCATGTACCAGCAGCTGGCCGACCCAGAAACGAAACAGAGAACAGATTAGCTGTGGCGGTTTTTGCCTAACCGAGCCGAAGACGTCGCATACTGATACAATGCGGACCACCACATGCTTACAAAAAGGGTTCGGATGTACCCCTTTTTGCACAGGTCACGCCAGGCGTACACAGTGTGCTCGAAATTTGCACTGCATGCCGAGCCCATCGACCCGATCACCAGTGATGTGGACCAGGCAACGCATGCAAACAAACAGAGAGCTCATGCCACCACATGGAAAATCAAGCACCTCATGCCCACGAGAACATAGCACACCTTCTTCAAGCTTGCAACTCTCCTTTGGCAACGTCCTGCCCTAGGCTCATCAGCCTGACGGCAGCCTAGCATACATACTCGGCAGCGCCATACCCTTGACCAGAGAGACCACTCGCGAGCCTGCCTTTCGTCCGAGAGGTTGGCACTGGAGGGACGCCACGATGCCGCGCTGGCGCGCGTCGCCAACTCGCACTGAAGCGCCTGCTGGAAGTGCCCAGCGGCCACCGCCGCCGCTGCCGCGTCGGTCGCGCCGCACTAGCCGGTCGCAGCGCGCGCGAGCATGTGCGGACTAGCGCGGCCGCAGAGATGCGCCAGCCAACGCCGAGCGCTCGTCGCAATCGCCGTCGCATGGGCTTCGCGAGCCGAGTCGCGGCTGGACCAGCGGGATGTTTGCCCGAGCGGTGGAGCTGACAACTTCAAGTTCGGAAAGGCGAATTGCGCAGCGTAGACTCTCCTCGCCCAAGCGATCGGGCCCCCCCCCCCGGGGATGAGCACCCCCCTGGTTTCTTGCACTTAATTGCTATGTTGCCCCATCGCTAATTTTGGACGTGAACTCGTACCATCCCAGGGAGAGCCGTCATCGACCCCCCCATCCATCGCTGCAGTATGATACTGCGCGCGCGCTCATTTATCTAACATCAGCCGTTGCCAAAAATCCCCTGCAACAGTAAAAAGCGAAATCGACGCGCGCGCGCGTCGTCGCGTGCGCGCGCCGCAATTCTTCGTGGACATTCGGCATCGCAGAGACACCACAAGTCGCACACATAAGAACAACAAATGGTTGCGCAACGTGGATGTTCACATGCATGCTGCGCGCGCTATCTTGCAGAGATCCATCGGTTTTCACCAGTAAGCCAGATGCGACCAAGCGGGCCACTCGCGCGCGCACGACGGAATCATTCGACGACCCCGGCGAAATTGCCGGGGGGGGGGCGGCGATGCGCGTCGAGGAATGCCGCGCGGGCCAATCGTGCCCGTCGGCCGCGCCCGCGCGTCAAAATCCCGCTGAAATCTTCGTCGCCGACGCGCGATCAGATCCGCCGCGACCGCGCCGCGTCGGTCGCGCCCGACTTGCCCGCAGCTCTGCGCGCGAACCTCCGCGCGCCAGCACGGCCGCAGCGCTGCGCCAAACGGCGCCCAGCAAAAGTCGCAATCGCCGCCGCGTGGGTTTTGCAGGCCATGTTGCGGGAGGGCGGGTGGTATGATTGCGCGGGCACTGGGTCTGGCAATTCACTTGTGATCGCGATTTTTCTGCGCCGCGCACAAAGCGCCACGCGCGTTGTGCCACGCGGTCTCCATCTGAGAACAAGATGATCTTCAGTCCACGCCCCACTCCCGAGGTCATCGACCCCCCCGTTGGACAATGTGGTTTCGAAATTATTCTGTGCGCTCCATCGGTCCACTATGCAAATTCATATAGCCCTAACCCAGCGGGCGTCGCCCCGCCCACCCCCCCTTCCCCGCCATCCCCTTCAAATATTCATTCGCCCGCGCAGCTACAACCCGTCAAACACCATCAATTGACACATTAAACCCCCGCCAACAAACTTAGCCAACATCCACGCGCGCCGGAATTCAGGCACCTTGAGTTTCGCAAGGACGGCAAAAAACGAGGTCCCCGCATGCGTCGAAAAAATTATCCTGGCGCAGGACCCGGCCGCATGCAGTTGTGAATGTCGCCGTTGTGGTCATCGCCTTTGGTGGATCTCCTGACGGGGCCGCGAGGCGTGTGGAGGGCGCGCCGACATGGCGCGGGGCCGCCGCGCGGGCGCTGCTACTCGGGCCTCAGGTGCCCCCCATGCGGGGCCACAGAACAAGCGAGGGGCGCAGCGACAGGGCAGGGGCGGGGCCGCCATGCGAACGTGGCCGCCAGGGCCTTCGGTTGAGCTCCCTACGGGGCCACGACACGAGCGGGGAGTGCCCCGAAATTTGCGGGGGTGGGGGGTGGGGGGCGCATGCGAAAGTCGCCTTCGGGGCCTTCGGTGGAACTGCCCATGAGGCCGCGAAACGCGCGAGTGGTGCGTTCAAATCCCACCAGCCCTTTGGGCGTGAGTGGTTTAGAGAGCCCGCTCTGTTCTCAACCCCCTTCTTCCCCTTCGGGGAGGGGTTTACCCCTCCCCCTACCCCCTCCCTCTGGGCCTGGAGAGGGCGCCCCGCGGGTCGTTGGAGGGGTCTTTTTCGACTCCTGGGAGGGCTAAAATTCGACACCCCTCACGAGGATTCTGGCCCCGACGGGGGGAGGCAGAAAAATGCTCGCCCCATCTGTGATCGATCGCCCGACAGATGGCCCCAAGATTCCTCCCAGACCCCTCCCAAAGAGCCCCAAGAGGCCCCAAGAGGCCTCCAAGAGGCCCCCAAGATGCCCCCAAGAGGCGCCCAAGAGGCCCCAAGAGGCTCCCCCGAGGCACCCAAGACGCTCCTGGAAGCCCCTGGAGCCGCCAAGAGGCCCCCAAGACGCCCCAAACGGCCTCCAAGAGGCTCCCAAGAGGCCCGAAGAGGCTCCCCCAAGGCACCCAAGACGCTCCTAGAAGCCCCTGGGGCCGCCAAGAGGCCCCGAAGACGCCCCAAAAGGCCTCCAAGAGGCTCCCAAAACGACTCACACCACGACGAGGGCCCCGAACGACTCACACCACGAGGAGCCCGAACGAGTCACACCAGGAGGAGGGGCCCGAACGACTCACACGACGACGAGGGGCCCGAACAACTCACACCACGAGAAGCCCGAACGACTCACACCAGGACGAAGAGCCCGAACGACTCACATCACGAAGAACCCGAACGATTCACACCAGGAAGAAGGGCCCGAACGACTCACACCAGGACAAGAAACCCCAAACGACTCAAACCACGAGGAGCGCTTTCTCTCCCTCCTCCTCCGCCTCGTCCTTCTCCCGCTCCCACCGCAAGGAGGATGTACAAGGAGGCGGGAGGAAGGAGGAACAGGGGAGATATGCGGGGGCAGGCGGAAACACGCCTGAAAAACACGACTGTCGGCATGCTTCGCAAGAGTTGCTGTTTTGAGATGGGCTGGTGGGGATACGCGAAGCGTAAAGAATTAATGAGGGAACGCATGCGAACGTCGCCACTGGCGCCTTCTGTTCAGCTCCCTAAAGGGTCACGACACGCGTGAGGGGCGTTCCCAAATGGGCGGGGGAGGACATTGCGAACGTCGCCAGCGGGGCCTTCGGCGGCGCTCCATACGGGGCCCCACGCCGACGCACTGGGTGGGACGCGAGCGAACGTCGAGTTGGAGGCTTCGGTGGAACTCCCTATGGGGCCACGAAGCGATGTGCTGGGCGGGGCGGGGCGGACGCGCGCGAACGTCGCCGCGGGGTGTGGAGCCCACTATGGGGCCACGAAGCGCCATGCTGGGTGGGGCACACGCATGCGACGGTCGCCGCGGGGGCCTTCGGCGCAACTCCGCGTGGGGCCACGAACCGTGTGAGGGGTGTGCCGACATGGGTGGGGCGGACGCATGCGAACGTCGCCAGTGGGGCGTTCGGTGGCGCTCCCTGTTGGGCCACGGAACGCTGCGCGGGGCGGGGCGGGCGCATGCGAACGTCGCCTCTGAGGCATTCGTTGGGACTCCCTATGCGGCCACGATGCGCTGTGCTGGGCGGGGGGGGGGGGGCGCGTGCGAACGCCGCCATGGGGGCATCTGGTGCCGCGCCCTATGGGGCCACGAAGAGCAGTACTTGGTGGGGCGGACGCATGCGAACGTCGCCACTGGAGCCTTCAGTGGCTCCCTTTGGGGCCACGGGATGCTGTATTGGGTGGGGCGGGCGCAACCGAAGGTCGCCACGGTGGCCTTCGTTGGCGCTCCCTGTGTGGTCAAGAGGCGTTATCCTGGGCGGGGCGGACGCATGCGAACGTCGCCACTGGGGCTTCGG